GTATGCTATAGGCCTAGTACTTAGTAAACTGCAAGGGGTCGGCGAAGCATTATATACTTCGAAGGGAAAGCGTTGTAAATATTAAAAAGAAGAGAATAGACGTAGGGAGGGCTATATTGCAGCTAGATTAGGTACATTTCCTATATCTCTCTTGCTATATGTTGTCGTAGCTGTATCTCCTTGTATTGTATATGTTCTCTAATATATAAAAACAGGGGAAGAGGGTATAAGTAGGCACACCTATGCTAAGCCGGGTTTCCCTACTATACTAGAAGGACGTTAGGGTAGGAAAGTCGATTATAGACTATATCGTTACGACGATAAGGTTAGCGGGCGACGCTAGCTTCGGTAAAGAACTATAGATCCTATAGGCCTATCGCTGTTTAGAGCCGCGTTTCTAGGAGGCTTTATTTAAACTAGACGAGGATACGACGACGGACGAATTCGTTATAGCCTATAAGAAGAAGTTCTATATATAGGAGTAGATAGCTACCGGAGGTAAGAATCGTCGCTAGCCTAACTATTAGGGAAGCGGCCGCGATAATCTACTAAGAAGAGCCGACGGTGCTCGGAATTAGAAGGATAATCCTAGCTAGACTAGATCGTTAGGCGAGTATCGCGCCTGTTTTAATACTAACAAATAGCAGAATCGTCCTAATAACTACTATTAGAACAATTAGCAACCTAACGCAAGCGGAAGCGAGCTATAGAAGAAGTTCTTCCCTTAGAAGGATCTAAAGCGCCTCGATAGGGCCGCTAACGCGAAGCTACGCTAGAATAATCGTTAATAAGCGCACTTTAGTAGCGAGGAAGCCCTAGAGCAAATCCCTTCTAAACGGGCCTATTATAGTGCCGAGGATGCTAACCTAGAATAGTTATAGGATCGGTCGTAGGACGCGGACGACTCCTAGCCCGTTAAGTAAGGTTACTTCGGCAACCTAGGCGAAGATATATATTATTCGGACCTATATTAGTCCGAGTATAGTGCCTACTTTAGCGGCATCGGTACTCCTCTTTCGCTTGCGGCTAAAGCCTCTTAAGAAATTAAGGTCCCCTCTAGTGTTCGCCTATATCTTTCGTCCGTCTATACCTATAAGATATATAGTTACAAATTCGCGTCGAGAAATCTCTTATACTATTACGTTCGTACTAGCTATACGAAGAAATTATCGCCGCCGCCGCCTATATAGCAAAGATTGCTAGATAACCCTATAGTCTACCGATCTATAGCGGTGCCGTTAGTATAGCGCGGCTACGCCTTTCGCAACTTTTAGTATATAACGTTTCCTTACTAGTTTTCGCCCTAGGGCGCTATAGAGTAGATTTGTTTAGATACCGGCTATACTATAACTCTCGCCGATAAAGCATTTATACTTTAGTAGCGCCCCGATATCTAGATTCTCTATCTTTGTAAGCCGCTTAAAATTAGGGATATCGTAGGAGCTTAGGCTATATCCGAGTATATTTAGTTAGATTTTTATATACTATTGTAGCGTACAGACGGCATAGTAGCGCTCGCTTATACAGTCCGCGAGGTTTACCTAGTTCCGAGTCTAAAGGCTAAGGTCCTATAGGGAATAGACGCGGTCGCTATTAAGGGTATAAAGATTAACGTACTAGCGAGGAAGGTTACGGTAGCTAATTAGGGCAACGCTACCTTTAAGGTTAGCGTAAAGCGGAAAAAGGGTAAACCGGTCTTAAATCGCCCTGTCCGCGTAATAGGCGATGTCCTACTTCTACCTCGTTCGGTAACTATAGTCCTAGTTAATTTTGCCAGCGAACTACTACGATAACGCGACTTCTTACTAGAAGTAGGATTAGTACTACAACCGTATAGATCTGCCTAGGGATTGTCTGCTAGATCGCCGCCGTTAGTATTAGTATACAATTAGTTAGTAGACTCGTCCTTCTTATATACGCAAGTCCGAAATAATTCTACCTTTAAAGCACTACTAAAGGCCGGCTAGCGAATTAGTACGCTGCTAGATTCCTCCTTTAAGGGGGCTTTTTACGTTAACGCCGAGGATTATAGGCTAGCCGCGTTAAATCCGAACGCGCTAATAATAATAGCTAAGCTCGAGCAGAAGTACGAGTTAGGTATAACTATCTACGGTACGCCCGATCGGACGGACGCGATTGCCGTAGTAGTTAAGAAATACCCTAAGCTCTTTACGGATCGACGTACGATTATTAACATCCCCGAGTCTAAATATATGCCGATTCCTACGACCCTAGACTACCTTAATAAGCTTCCCCTGCTAAAGGTAATTAATTTAGGAAAGCGAGATCGGGAAGTAGTCGATAAGATATACGAAGATCTCTATAACTAGGGCAAGATAGAGTTTACGACTAAACCGACGCCCTTTAGATTCCCCGTCTTTATAGTTTAGAAGCGCGTGCCCGACGGGAAGGGCGGCAACGTTAACAAACCTAGAGCGGTAGTAGATATTCGCGCTCTAAACCGTATGTCTATACTAGACAGTTACTAGATTCCGCTCTAGGCCGACCTATTTAGCCTCCTAGTAGGATGCAACTATATTAGCACTATAGACTGCCTAACATTCTTCTACTAATAGGGAGTACGTAAGGAAGATCGCTATAAACTAGCGATTAATACCTACTATAGATAGGAGTAGTTTAACGTAGCTATTATAAGCTACTCGAATAGCGTATAGTTCGTTTAGCGGAAACTAGATCGCATCCTACGCGACTGTCGGGATTTCGCTCGAGTATATATCGATAATATCGTAGTATTCTCGCGGACGCTAGAGGAGTACCTACGCTATTTAGAGGAGGTTTTTCGCCTACTAGACGCTGTCTCTATTAGTATTAGTCCGAAGAAGACGTTTCTCGGGTTCCCGTCGGCGACATTACTAGGCTAATACGTTAGTAGGCTAGGTCTCGCGACGAGCGATAAGAAGATCGCCGCGATTACCTCGCTCTAGTTCCTAGAGTTTGTCTAAAAGTTAGAATACTACCTTAGCTTAACTAACTAGCTCTGTTAGCATATACCCTATTACGCGTAGATAGCCGCGCCTTTATAGGCCGAGAAGACTAGATTGCTTAAGGGAGCGCTACTAATAGGCAACGGGAGACGTCGGTATATCGCTACGACTCTATTAGGGGAAAATCTAGAGTATCGCCTAGAATTAGTTAGGGCATTTAATTACTTTTAATCTATGTTTAGATCGCCTAAGTTTCTCTATTATTTCGACTACTCTAGACGACTTTACGCTAATATAGACTCCTCGAGGGAGTTCGGGTATAGCGTAGTAGTCTACTACGTTAAGAGCGATCTAGAGCCGCTTTTCGACGAATACGGTAAGGCGTAACTGTTCCCTCGCTACCGTATCTAACCGATTCTGTTTCTTAGCTAAGGGTTGAGTAACGCGGAGAAGAGGTACTAGCTAACTAAGCTAGAATACTCCGGGATTGTCTAGATAGTAAGGAAAATCGGCTATTTAATGTACGCTTTAGCGCATCCTACTACAATCTTTACGGATTACTACGCTATAGTAGGCCTTACTAACTCGGTTTCGCTAACTACGACGACCGATACGGGCAAGTAGAACCTTAAGCTAGTGCGGGCATCCCTATATCTATCCTAATTTCGTATTAGTATAGTATACCGCCTAGGCCGCATCTACCTAGTTCTAGACGCCCTTAGTCGCCTTCTCGGCGACCTCGAATCCCCTAAGAAAGATCCGGAGGCAGAGAATTTAGATCCCTTTACGTACTATAGGCACGGCGGTTCGTCTAGTCTAGAGGCGTTCTATACAATCCTAGTAGAGATAGATCCGGCATTTAAGCGCAAGCTTTCGCTAGTATATAAGTACGACGACTACTAGTCGATAGTATAACGCCTAGTACGCCGCGCGCGAGCGCGTAACGCGCTCGAGCGCTTGTATCTCGATAGAGTAGATATACCTACTATTACGAAAGACCTAGTCCTATATAACAAAGGTAAGGATCCGTTCGCCGGGGACGAATTTAGTAATCCCTTAGGAATTAAGTTCTTTAAGCGCGACGACCTTCTCTACTACTAAGAATCTATAGCGAGGCGCGAGCGTTTATATATCCCTTAATCTATAGTTAAAGACGTGTTTATATAGGCGTACGACGATCGGTACTATTAAGGATTCTATCGCTACTACGATCGACTCTAAGCGTCCTTCTATATCTAGGGTATAAGTAGGAAGCTCTATAAGTACATCGACTATTATTAGTAGTGCCTCCTAATCTAGACGCAGCGTTATACTCTATATAGCGAATTGTAACCTATCCTACCGATAGGAGGCGTTTTCTATACCGCTACCGTAGATCTAGTAACGGCGCTACTAGTTAGCCCTAGTAGTATAGATACTATCCTTACTTCTATATACAAATTCTCTAAAAAGGTAGCGATAGTCGTAGGTCGTAAAGATTAGGAGGTAGCGCGGTAGGGCGTAGCGTATATCGACTACCTCTACCTTATAGATATAAGCTTCCCTATAGTAATAATCGCCGATCGAGATCCGCGTTAGCTCTTAGGCTTTATAAAGGGGGTCTTCGAGCGATTGCGCTCTAAGCTACTAACTTCTATAGCGTACTACCTCTAAACCGATAGGCAATCGGAAAGAACGAATTAGACGGTTAAAACCGCACTTCGGTACTAGCTCTCCGAGCACCTAGGCGAAGATTAGACGTAGTATATCGCCTCTCTCTAGGCTACGTTAAACAATTCCCGCAGCGCTATAACTAGATAGTCGCCTAACGAAATCGTAATAGGAAAGCGTACGAATCTAGACTCGATTACGCACTTAGATAATTACCCTAATAAATTAGCGGCGGCCCGAGGTAGGATCTAGAAGGAAGCCTAGGATACGATAGCGTAGGGAGCGATAAAGATAAAAGAACGATATAACGCTAAGTATAAGCTACTAATACTACGTCCGGGCGATAAAGTTATGCTTAAGCTCTCCGTTAGGCTCGGTTATTCGGGCTATAAGGTTCTAGGGCAATTACAGAAGTTCGGCTATTGTCGCGAAGGTCCGTTTAAGGTACTCGAGCGTATCGGTCGGCTCGCATACTGTCTCGAGCTGCCGCCGATTATAAAAATCTATCTAGTAATCTCTATCGCGCATCTTAAGAAGGCCCCGTCGGAGCTAGATCCCTTCGGATAAAAGGCTAATTACGAACTACCGCTAGTAGCTATAGAAGAAGCACTTAGCGATTATAACGAAGGAGATTCTTACGAGATAGAGAGGATACTCGATAGGCGTATAATCGTTCGCCGGGGCAAGCCGATCCGCTAGTTTCTAGTTAAGTAGCTCGGCTATAGCGACGCCTATAACGTTTAGTACGATATCGATAATCTAGAAGCCGCGCGAGAATTAGTCGAGGCGTTCGAGTAAGCGCATCCCGAAGACGAGTAACCGCCTTAGAAGAGTATTAGAAGAGTAGTTAAGAAAACACGCTATTGTTAGCCTTTTTTAGACAAAACGTAGCCGCGTCGGTCCGAGCGCTAGCGCGGCAATACGGCTCCTACGGAGTCGTAACGCGCCTATATTAGTAGACAACCTATTCCTACCGCGCTATCTTAGACCCTAACTATTATCGTAGACGGCAACCGGCCCGAGTTGCCGATAGTCGCTATTCTATCCGTACTATTAGTATTAATTTTAATATCCTAACCCGGATTCTCGATTAGAATATATTCCTTACCCTTTTATAGTAGAACGTCGACATTTTGTTTCGCTTAGCGAGCGCGACATTAGAGGCGCCTACGATAGAGCCGGTTCTAAGAGAACCGTTAAGGCAAGTATAAGAAAAGCAAGTTCTCGTAGTAGGCGTTTCCTTTAGGGAAGACGTATAGTTTACGGTAGACGATATTAAAGCATATATTACGAAAATTGCCTGCCTACCGAGTTAGACGGTTAGCGTTAGAATAAGCCGGATATATACCGACGGCCTTTTAAAGGATATAGGAAACGGATTGTTTACAATTACCGAGACCGGAAAGGAAGACTATCGTTACTACGAAGGAGGCCGAGATCTCCCCTATTACTTACGCTAGAAGAAGGAAATGCCCTAGGAAACCGCCGAAGCCTATAGGCAGATCTTAGCCTGTCTCTTATTAGGCGATCTACGGCTCGTTGCTCTCTACTCGGCGGTAGCTAAGGCCTTTACTTAGCCGACCTACTCTGTTTTCCTAGCTACTAAGGCACTTATTATAAACGGCTACGTCTTTCTCCGTAACGGCGCATACTATTATATTACTAATAGAGGCGTAGAATACTACGGCTAGATGCTCGCCGACTACGAGACTAAGCGCCGCGTCGCCCCTAGCGAGGGCCTATTTGTTACCGGCCGTATCCTAGAGGTTATAGAAGATACCGAGGATAGCGAACTCGACGCCGGTTAGGAAGATATTAGTTAGGATGCTATAGAGAATAGGGCCGATAGTAATAAGCGGAGCGGCGATCGGGAAAATGCTAGAGAAAAGGGTAGCAGAAACGACGCTAATAAGAGCGAGCTAGGTAGTAATTAGAAGGAGAATAAAGCGTAGCAGGATAGTGCTAACTTAGAGGACGATTAAGGTAAGAATAAGGCGGACCGGATAGAAATAGAGGACTATCTCGCAACCTATCTAAACGAACTAGGATCGTATAATATAGGCCTTACTATTAGGCAGTTTAATATAGTATAGCGACGCTTATTCGCTAACGCAAAATTAATCCTCCCTAATATAGCGCTTAAGCTTCTACGCGATACGAGCTTCGACTACTTATAGACCTACGCGCTGGCAATCGTTATAGCGGCGAACCCGGCCTATGCCTTTATAAAAGCAAGTTAGAAAAGCGCTATCGAATTACTTACGACTAGGCGTAATTAGAGCGCAATACTAGCCGCCTACTTATTCGATAACGTATAGTAGGAAGTCCCGTCCCTTTACAGCTATTAAATCTTCTAGAAGATCGACGCTATCTAATAAGGTAACGTCGCCCTAGCCGAGAATCTATACCTTAACGCGTAGGACTTCGTACCTAAGAGCGACGACGCTACTAGTATAGTCGAGAGAGAGTATATTTAGCGCTACCGGCCTAACTATACGTACCTATAGGACTACGCCGAGGATAACGCTTATTACCTATATTCCGATTAATATAGTCCTACCGGCGATATAGTACTAGGCGTACTAAAGGCCCTAGAAGACAGACACGAAGACGTACGTAAGACGCTTAATAAGGCTCTTCGAAAGGTACGTCGACCGTTAGGACGGGAGCGTTTACCGGACAACGGCCTATAGGTAGAGCGTACGCCGGCGCCGCGAGCGTTACTAGCGATCTTATTGTTACTAGGACAATTAAGTTTACCTCCGCGTTCGCCGTAGTTGCCGTCGAAGTTGCCTAGACTATCTACTCTATAGCCGCGATAACCTACTTTACCGTCGCGACCCTCGTAGCCGCTATCGCTACTATAGCGACTAGCTTTACTATCTTTAGTATTATCTGCACCGTAGGCTTAGCCTCCTATACTATCGATATAATCGCAAACCTTATAGTTATTGCTAGTATAGCTTCTACTAGTACCCTCGCGTTCTCGCCTACGACTAGTATCTCTACGACTAGCATCCCTACGACCGAGTACTTAGCTAATAACGGTGCTCCGACTGTCGCGGTCGAGACTACTACTAAGCGCCGCGGCTAACTACGCTAGAATTATCCTATTCGCCTTACTACCGCCTAGTCCTCGACCCTAGGTATACTAACTCCGGCGCGACGCCGAATTTACTTAGTACTAGCGTATACTCGAAGAGTTAAGAGTACGCGGCTTCGTCGGATAATTAAAGGCGCTAGAAGCCGCCTATAATTAGTAGCTAAAGGAGTCGGAGGAGTGCGACGCCCTAGTAGCTAGGATTCGGTCTACCGGAATTAAGAGCGATAAGGAATTCTATAGCGACCGTTACTACGATAGAGCGTAGTAGATCTTTCGAGCTGTATTTAGACTTAACGAAGAAAGTACCTTGCTAGAAGTATTCCGCCTAAACAAGCCCTACGATTAGTAAGTCGAGCACATTTAGGCGCGCTTAAAGCTCTACCCGCTCTATCTAAAACTGTCGTATTACGACAATCGGATACAGATCCTAGCTAAACTGTATTACTATACCGCCCGACTAGTATACGACCTAGACGCTACTCTTTAGGAGCGCGAGCACGACAATCCCGTTACCTCCTTCCGCTATCCTAACGGTAGCTTAGAGCTAGACTATTTAATCTTTCGAGTACTAGAACTTATCGAGGAGTAGGAATACCTAGAGAACGAGCACGATATCCCTAACTATACCGATCCCGCTATAGAACGTATCCTTATTCGTATATATACGCGTAGAGCCCTTAATACGGACGGCCGCCTACTTAACTTCTTAATGTTAGATACCGCGTTCGGAGGAATTTTTCCTCGGTTAGTTACATTCTAGTACGTATACTTACGCTACGCGCTAAAGGCTATCGACGACTAGCCTCCTACCGACTACCGTTTCTTCGCGCAACCGCCGGCTATCTATTACCGCGCAATCGGCCTCGCCGTCCGCTAATTCGTACGGAACTTTTAGAGCTTGCCCGCGCTTCCCCTAATTTTAGCCTATAATTAGGTAGAAGCGACGCTTCCCTTCGATTATATCGTCGCAATTATAGGCAACGGACGCCCTACCCTATATACTCGCGCCGCCGACAACTCGGATATTACTTACTACGTCCGAGGAGCCGACCGCGAGGTAAGCGCTAGAATAGCTTAGAAGAAGGGCAGCGAGGCCGACCTTACTAACGCTCTAGCCTATTAGTTCCTATTTAACCCTATTATAGGTCGAGTAACAACGCTCCGATTCCCGCCGGAAAATACGCAAATAAGCGACCGATGCGTCTATATACTAATACGTATAAAAGTAGCTAGCCTAATTAGCGCTAAGTAGCTCTAGCGTTACTAGTCTACTACATTTAACGCGTAAGGACTCCTATTACCGCAACGCCGTTAGTTAGGCGAACTAGCCGTTACCTAGGACGTCGAAGATTATTATTAGCGCTACGTATACGTCTATAGCGTCTATTCCCTACGAGGAGAGGGCTATACCGCCGACCTCGTAGAGCTAGACAAGATATACGACGATACGGTTACCTACAAATCGCATAGCTATCCTTAGGTCCTAGTAGGATATCGCGAGTATATAAGCTACGCTAAGGCTAAATAGAAGAAGATTCCTATACTTACCCTCGATAAGAAGATCGCTATCGACTAGAACGCTATTATCTAGCCGTCCTTTAGAGATAAGGACTATATAAGTAAGCTATTTAAGGCCTATATAGATAAGATTGTAGCTAACCCGCCTACGGGCTTTACGGTTCCTACGGGAATCGTAAAGAACTAGCTAGAAAAGACGATAAATAGGCGACCGGTCTCTAACGCCTTCGTACTAGCGACTACGAAGGAAGACGTAGTTAATTCGCTTATAGATCGTAACGAGAGCGCTTATTAGTATAACGTCGACGAGACGTAGGATCCGGTGTCCTCCTACCTCGTTCCTAATAACGATTATAAGCCGGACGAGGGCGATACTACGAACGCCGTTACCTTTAGTAAGATTCTGCCCTAGGCCGCCCTACTACTATCGCGAAACTAAAACAACAGGTCGCGAGGCGGTCGCGTTAACAAACAGCTAGATTCCGACAAGCTAGGCTATATACGACCTCGTATATATAGCAACTATAGTATGCCGCCGCTACCGCCTCTACTACGTAAAACAAGTAATAACGCCGACAATGCTACTATATTCCCTAGCTCGATTAAGTAGATAGACCTTAAATTGCCGCTACTACCGACCCTGCTACTATATGCCCTAAGTAGCGCCGGCGGTCGCCTATAACTAGTAGTTAATTAGACGATGCTTACTAACCGCTCTCTTAACTAAAACGCACTTCTCGCATATCGGTAGGCTAAGCAATACGACGACCTTATAACGTAGATAAAGGACAGTAGAGATGCGATACTAGTAATAGCCGCTTAGAATCGCGTAGTAGTATAGGTCGCGCTTTAGACCGGTAAGCAAAATATAGCGCTCCTCGCGGATAATTTTCTCCGCGATGCTCCTAGCAACCTGCCTATCGCCGCCTTAGTTCTAGCCGATTTGCTAGCAATTCTCGGCGGTAGTATTAGTAATACTACCGAAGCGGAGATTAACGGCCTATAGGAGGTAACCGATTAATACCTCGGCAAATACACTTTAGGCCTAGACGCCTGCTATAGCGACGGCTTAATCGATTTTAATAAGCTTATAGAGAAGATAATGCCTAACGCGGCGCTAGACACTACCTATAAGACAGCGGCGTATATAGCTAAGGTTATAGGCCTGTATAATAGTATTGCTAAGAAGATAGATCTATACGTCCTCTATAAGAAGGCTACTATTACACCGACCGTCGCTCGGCTAGAGCTCTCTACGGAGACCCTAGAGTCGAAGCGTAAGCGCAAGCGCGATGCCCTTAACGCCTAGGCCGACGATAGTTCGCCTTCTACCCCTAAGCGCGGTAAGAAGTACCCGTTAGTATAAGCGAGTAATAGGATATAGTGCAGAAAGTACCTATTAGTATAAGCATTAGCACAGCCCGCAATACGATTAATAGGATATAGTACATAAGCATTAGCATAGTGCGCAATTCTATTAATAGGATATAGTATAGAAGGCACCTATTAGTATAAGTATTAGCATAATATAAACAATAGGAGACGGTACTAAGAAGCATTAGGCGGCGTATTATATACAAGGGCGTACAAGTCTTTCCTTTTAGGGAGGAGGTTGTTACGGTTTAGATATTAGTACGGCCGATCCTACTTCGGATACTATCGATCCTACCGTAGATTATAACGATTAATGTATATAGTTTCCTAGGCTAGTAACTAACTAACAATTAATTATCTTTATATACTAGAATCGTGTCTGTCTCCGCTCTATAGAGCGTATCCTAACAAAGCACTAAGAACCTCCGTATCCGCAAGTATCTATTACCTAATAGCAAAACAAGGCCTAAGCTCGTACTAAGATACATTAGCCTATTCCGCATTCGAGAAGTTAAGGGCTCCTCCGCGTAGGCCTATTAGCTATAGCTCCTACCTTATTATACTATCTATAACACCTTCTATATATCCCTCCTTAAGCTATACTATCTACGCGAAGGGGATGAAGCTCCTATAGAACACGAAGACATACTAGCGGATAGTAAGGAGCTATAGTCTATAGAACGTATCCTATAGTATCGCACTAGGTAAGGCAAGAAGGAGTACCTACTAAGATAGTAAGGCTATTTACCTAAATAGGACTCGTAGGAAGCTAAAGACTCTTTTAAAGATATAACTAAGTTAATAGATAAGTATTAGACTAGCGTAAAGAACAAGAAGAAGGCTAAGGGCCTATAATGTTACTAGAAAGGCCTAGGAACAATGCTACCCCTAGGGTACTATTAGCTAACTAATTAGAGACAAGCAATTGTTAGCAATAAAGGACAATAAGACTACGCTAGGCGCGCTACGACGCGTTAATTAATTAATCGCATACTCTTTTAAGGACTCTACCTCTTTACTAACGCGCCCTATAGGTCCCCCTCTTATTCCTTTATTCTATCGAGGCCTCGAGGCCTAGGCGATCGGCGAGGGCGGCGTCGCGCTTATAACGGCGCGGCCGACGCGGCTATGTTAGTAACGGTGTTGCGGAGTGTGTTGCTATTTAAGAAAAGGAAGCTATGTTAGTAACGGTATTGCCGAGTTGTTATTAGTTAAAGAAGGAAATTAGAAGAAGGTAAAGTTAGCGCTAAGACGACTAGCGCTACTATTGTTAACATTACTTACTATTGTCGCTACGCCTATAGACACAACCTTACCTATACTACGAGCCTAAGGCACCTTTAATTAAAACTTTAATTAAAAGCTTTAAGCCTATTAAAGGTTTGATCAAAACTTTAAGGCTAAGTTAAAACTTTAACTAAGTTAAAAGATTGAGCAACTAATAGACTAACTAAGGGCAAAAACTATAGAGCTAAGCTAGCCGGGGTCGATTTTGCGGATAATAGGTTACTCCTCGATCTATCTAATCCTTTAAGCGAGGCGAACCTCTACTACTGCACTTATAATAGCCTTTACCTATAGAAACTAGACGAGCTGTGTTTTTTAAAAAGATAAGATAAGATTGATACTTAAAGGCTGCTAAACCTAGCTAATTAGGGCTAGCGAAACTACGAACAATAAGAATAATAACCCTCGGAAGCGGATAAACCCTCGGAAGCGGACATTGCTAGGTCTTTTAAGAGTAGACGCAAAGAACTTGGTACAATATTACTTAGAGCGGAGGTAGGGCTATAATACCTCGTACGTCTACCTATTATAGTAGGGAAGACGCGCTCGTATTATAATTAGTCGAAGGCCCTTAATTCTTATAGATACATATTACTTTATAGTTTATTATATATAGGGATAGCGCAGTTAGAAGTTAGACATTGTATTAGAAGGTAAGGTTTAATATAGTTACATAATTAGGTAGTTAAGTGTTTAATTTAGCGCGGGCTAAGTAGCTTATTAAACTTGCTAAGTTAGCGGCAATAGAGGTCGTAGAATATAGATAGGCTACGAGGGCGCGGCCTTTAAAAGGGAAGCGTATATTAGAGCTAAAGAGGCTATACGTAATTAGTATATAATTAGGCCGAGTAAAGCTAGGGTCTTAGTACCTTAGGTAGGGCTTAGCGCTTAGCGTTAGGCTAACTCTCCTACCTTCCTCCCTCTCCTCCTAGATCCTTATCGAATACTACCTATACCTACTACTACCCTATCTACCTGCTAATATAACCCTTCTTATATAAGCAAGCTATACGATATAGCCGATCTCTACTAATAATGTTATATTTAGACCTAATATAGGTATAGAGGTACCGTCGGCTAAAGGACTCTACCGTAGACTTCTCGAGCTCTTCCTATAAGACCTTTATAATCTGTTCTTCCGCTTCTATCTATCTATCTATTAATAATACCTTCTTTAATCTAAGCTCTTAACGTATCCGTTAATATCTCCGCTAGCTAATCTTAAACCTATCGACCTATAGTACTTAGACCGCTTCTTTATTAGTTAGCCGTAGAACGTAGAAGGTATATACGACCCGGATCTTAAGTACCTCGATATCGTTAACTCGGTAATAGTAAGTATAGTAGCTATAGTTAATATTCTACTCTTTAAGCCTTCGTTTAAGTGTATTAAGAGATATCTAATAACCGGTCTCTTATATAAGGTACTATACAATTGCTTCTCGTATAGTGCCGCCGTAGACTTAAGATATTATCTAAGCCTTCTATAGCGATAAATCGATACGTAAAGGCATTCTACGAGTCGATAGCGAGTATAGTACGAGTCGTAGAAGGTCAAACACGAAGAATTAGGTAGGAATAGCGGTAAGACGTATAAGAAACCCCGCATTGAGCCTCTAGTATGTATGGGCCTCCCTACTCGTACGAGGGATTGATTGATTGGCAGCTGGGGCTCGGGCGGGAGGTGGCGAGGTGCAGGTTGCAGGAAGATCCGTAGCCAAGACGAACATTCCTTAGCGTAAGATGTAGCATGTCCAATAATCGATCGTGCTTGTGATTTGATCCAGTCAACGGAGGCTCCACTCGAGTGCTGGTTCCCAGTAGCTAGGGCTCGGGCGGGAGGAGGCGAGGTGGCGAGGTGCAGGTTGCACGAAAATCTGCAGCCAAGACAGACATTCCTTAGCGTAAGATGCAGGATGTCCAATAATCGATCGTAGTTGTTTGTGATTTGACATACAAGTCAATGCAGGCTCTACTCAGAGGAGGCTCCACTCGAATGCTGGTTCCCAGCCAAGAGGAGACACTGTGTCCAATGATTGTTCGTGCTTGTTCTCCCTGGAAATCCGCTTCTCGTGTTGGTGTTCGTGACGCTTGCGCTGTTGACATCCCAAACCCACTTCACTACTCTTTGCTCTTCATCTCGCTTCACCTTTGTCATCTACAAGTACAGCCTCGCCCACCACATCCCATCCCATGCAACCACCTGAGGCTTTTGAAGCTGATATAAGAATGCTCAGCCTAGCCTCTCATCATCAAGCCGCGGTTATGCTCAGCCCTGCCTTCGTAGAGTTTGGGGACCGCAGCTGAGCTGTCAGCGCTTCCCAAAGTTCCCATCTGTCCCAATAGGATTGTTCGCGGCACCACAGGCATTGCATTCGACACGACATCCATCGCTTTCCGGACAGCAGTTAAGACTCCCCATGTATACTCGCACTAAGAAGCAATGCTCGAGGCCATGCCGGACATTGCTGGCTGATCTCGTAAGACATGCATACCAGGCGAAAAATGAATCATGCATGCAGATTCAGTGATTGCGGCTGGCTGGCTGGGGCTAAAGTGGGTTGCTTCTCTACACTGGCTAGAACTTGCGCCTCCAGCATGCATGTCTTAGCACGAGGCTGCTGACAGCTTCGCGGACTGCAGAGAGGCCGCAGTGGTGGGATGTTCAGAAATGGACTCGATGAGGCGAGTACATGAAGGCTGGTATTCCTCAAGCGCGGTAAGGCTTTCGTCTCTTTCCTTCCAATCCGCCTACCGGCACCGATTTCACGCAATATCGCAGCGTCACAGAGACAGAAGCAAAGATGCGGCTCACCGCTCTCACCCTAATAGCGACGTTCCTCGCACGCGCATCCGCCGACTTCCTCATGTCCAACACCTCGGTCTGCATGGGCACATTGATGATCCAGCAATGCTACCACGGCGTCAAAGTCCTCTCCCAGACCAGTGAGACCGACAGTGGGAAAGGCTACTCATGCGACCACCTCGTCCATGCGCAAGACAACAATTACATCCACAATGGCACTGCCGGACCATTCGGATCACCCTATGTGAGCTCGGAAGGCGGCATTTGCGACTCTGGCCGCCTCGATTTTGTAAAAGATGGAGAAGAGTACATCGTCAATGATGAAAGCGGATCGACGGTGGCGCATTGCGAGATCGAGAAGGGAAACTACACGCAACACTGCAATCAATGGGTTGGCATGCTGTTCTTTCAGGCAATGTATAGGTGCAAAGGCAGTGTCTGTCCCAGCCCTTGAGCGGTCACCGATGTCTTGGTAATCGTTGTGTCGCCGAATTGCAGCAATTTTCGACACGATCGGTCTTCACGCTCGACTTCCACTACACGTACAAGTCGCTAGAACTTTCCAGGATTCAATACAATCATGGCCTCAGCAGCAGGATGAAAAGAGGGTGCTTCGCGCACGAGATCGAGGACTTGCGACTCGTGGAGAATCTTTGTCAATAGATATTCGAAGTTCGTCATGAAGAGAATGTATGTGAGCGTTCAGTACTCTTAAGAATTCCAGCAAGCGCTGAAGGTATTTACAAAGTACTGTTGTCTGTAGGACTTTCATGGTATAGATTCTGATCACGTGGATGGTCCTGGCAAAGCTCAAGTTGTGTCTTGGTTGGTTTGCAATCTTGGTTCCTGGACATCCCATCCACGACATTGCATTTTCGTTCACATGATGATCAATCTCTCAGCGCTGACCTACCCGTATCGAGATCCAATTCGTACGGCGATCACGATGATGGTCATCAAAGTGGAGAGTCAAGTGTACTTCCATCCTACTACCTTCCTGTTCGAGAACTCTAAACTTCCGAGGTGCACAGTAGGTACTACCTCCGCAGGCATTGAGCTTCGAGAAGGCCTGCACTTTTAACTACGCTCTCCTGCATCTTCATCCACGCTACTGACCGACAGCAAAACCTTGTCACAAACTCGACCGCGAGCGCATCGTTGCGATCATGACGAAAAAGATCCAGCCTCCTGGCCAAGAACGAGCATATCCCGATCCAACCAAGACCGGCACGATTCCATTCGAATATGCGAAGAATGGCATGAAAGGCGAGACGGCATATTGGATCTGGGGAGATCTCAGCTCTGGCAAGACGCCTTTGATATGTCTGCACGGCGGTCCTGGCGTGCCACATCAATATCTCCTTCCGATATCGCTCATGCAGAAAGATCATGGTATACCGGTTGTGATGTACGATCAAATTGGCTGCGGTGGCTCAACGAGATTCAAGGACAAGAAAGGAGATCACGAATTCTGGTCGCCTCAGCTATTCATGGAAGAGTTGGACAATGTGAAGAGGTACCTGGGCATCGAGGAGTTTGATCTGCTTGGACAGAGCTGGGGTGGAATGCTTGCAGGCCAATACGCGATCGAGAAGCAACCAGCTGGGTTGCGGAAATTGATCATCTCGAACTCGCCAAGCAACATGAAGGTATGGGTCGATGTTGGCAATCGGTTGCGGAAGCAGCTTCCAAAAGAGATTCAAGATACCTTGGATCGATGCGAAAGAGAAGGAAAGGTTGAGACACCAGAGTACGAGGAGGCTGTGATGTACTTCTACAGCTTGCACGTGTGCCGCGTCGACCCGTTCCCGAAAGAGCTGGAGAAGTCTTTCGAGCAGCTTGGTGAGGACAACACGGTGTACTATAGCATGTGCGGACCCAGCGAATTCTTCATCATCGGAAACCTCAAGAATTGGAGCATTACTGGGAAGCTGGATCAGATCACGGAAACCACCGTTCCTGGCGGAATTTTGATTATGAATGGATACTATGATGAAGCTCAAGACGAGACCACGGAAGCCTTCTTCACAAAGCCGTCGGCTAGGGTGAAGTGGGTGCGATATGCGCTGAGCAGTCATATGCCCATGCTAGAAGAGACGGAAAAGTATTTGACGGATCTTGGCAGGTTCTTGACGCAGGAGTAGACGGACTGACCATGCCGCTAATCGAATTTTGATTCAAATGATCAGATCAATGCGCCAAGAGCCTTTCTCGTGACAGTTTCTTGCTCGACAAAGAGGTAGGTTGCACCGCTTTCGCAGCTCCAGCGCCCAGCTCGCATCAGGAGGCGAAGCATGGTGGCTCGCAAGTGTCTGCTGCGGAGGAGCTGAGAACTCCCGCCACCCTCATAACTTCGCTGGAGCTTTATTGTACTTTTCGACACTAACCACTGTTCGAATATGCTAGCACCCTTTGGGTTCTCTGTTGGAGATTTCCTGGCAGGCCTCGAGCTCGTCAAGGAAGCATGCGAAGCTCTCAAGGATGCCTCCGGCGCGAAATACAAATTCCAACTGGCGCTGGTCGAGCTGGAATCAACGCAAGCGATACTGCGGCGATTACAGGCCTTTGAACCTTCAAGACATCAAGACAGTGTTGCTGGTAGACTCCAGATGTTAGGACACGCATGCGGAATCCCAGTCGCTAGGTTCCTCAAGAAGTTGGAACCGTATCGCGAGTTTTTGACGCTCTCTCAAGATGCTGACAAGACTATTTCACGATTCGGTATGAGAACGAAGTCAAAGCTCGAATGGGCCTTGATACTGCAGGACCAATTTACAGAACTGCGTGCGAATATAGCACCCTTCATATCGCTGATGGATGTTCTGCTCCAACTCCAGACACTGTAAGCGCGGCATATTCTGCATTTGGAGTGGTATGCTGACATGACCAGGAGCAACATTCACGAGCTGCGGCAGGACAATGCCACCCTCGAGAGCGAAGTTCGAGACCTTAGATCTACGACGCGAGACTTGCAAAACACCGTGTGCAGACAGCTTGCAACGAAAGACGAGGTCAAGGCCATTTTGCCGAAGCTGAACGATCTCGAAACTTCCTTGCGTGGAGCGTATCAATGCAACCAGATCCCCATGATTTTGAGACTCCTCGGCGACATGTCACTAGCAGATTTGGATCGACATGAAAAAGTTCTCCAAGGTCTTCTCAATGCTGAAAAGGCTACGAATGCCATCATGGCGCAGACGCAAGATCAAACAATGGCCCTGGGCAAGATTACCAGTGCTCTAGGTTTGATCGAGGCGTGCCAATCTGCACCTCCTGATGACCGTGATTGGGTACCTTCGAACCAAAGAGACCACTGGGAACTAACCGGCTCAGCTTTGATCCAGCATTCCGCATCCAAAGCATTGATTCACGCAAGCAAGGCAGGCATAGACGCTCTGCTGTTGCTGCTCATTGGCATCGGAAGATTACTTCAACATGTTTTGCGCCATATGACCGCCCCGAATGCGTCCCCAGCGCTTCTTCAGCAATCGCCCATTCAGCTCGAGGACGGTTTGGGAAGAGTCAGCACTTTGCCCTACGAGATTTTCAATCGCTGGCCCGTACTGGAAGCATATCTGAAATGCATGTTTGAGGGCAGGCCCGAGAGCGATGTTATCGAGTATAGCCAGTTTGTCTTTACGACGGTCGAGAATGGGGCTCGTCAGTCGATGGAGATCTCCCCGGCTGCTTGGGAGGCGCTTGTATTGCCTGGCATGCAAGTTGAGATTTCTGCGTTTTTCACTCTCGATATTAGATCTGGGGAATGCCCGAAATGTCGTGGCGTTACGCTCAGTAGACATCTGCTGCGGAGTGCGCATATATGGTAAGCATCAAGCTAGGATCATTCGTCTGGTGTTGAAGTTGATCCTCTGTAGTGCCGGCTGCGGCTTATTATATCGAACCTCTCAAATTCCCGTCCTCGAGGATCCTTCACCTCCAGCAATTACTCGTCGCCGACATGCGAGGAGAAAGGAAGCCTATCGGTGGTCCGAGGCAAATGCATTTCTCAAAGCTGTCATGCACGATCCGAGCGACATCGAGGCTTACAAGTTCGTTTTTGTATCGGACTGCGAAGACGGCGACTGGGAATTGGACGAGCCTTTAATGGGAGCTTTCAAGAATTTCAAAAGATTCAGCATCGCCGAACATAAATACGCATGCACATTTGCGAATTGTGGGCAGAAATTTACCACGCCGAAGAGGTGGAGGGAACATGTTTGTCTTTGCCACCACGGCTCTCTTGACAGGCATATTCAGTATCGTGAGGCCACCGAGTCACCTTCGTCATCGACAATTTGGTGCGGGTTTTCTCGAGACAGGGTAGTCGTGTTGACAGGTACAGGCGCTGATGTGGGAGAAACTTACGAAGATAATCGATGGGCGTTCGTTGATCCTGTAGTCAAGGGATCTGGTTTCTATCTGAGCCACGTGGGTGATCACTTTGCCAAGGAGAGAGTGGATGCTGCGACGTGGTTGCTCTTAGAATAGAGCAAGGTCTAGGCACAGTTTGATGCATCTCCCAGCAAGACTCGTTCCACTCAGAGGCCAGGAATCACTGCAGCGGGAACGACACGACGAGACAAAGAGAGAAGTCGTACTAAACACAGACGCCATCTATGTGGTCGCACTCAGTGTATACCGGCGAGAGTAAAAATAGCGCTTCTATAGCACACTCGTCGATGTGCATACTACATCGCATGCCAAGGAGGCATATGGCCTGATCAATTTCTCTTTATGAGCCAATCAAGATACCTCTCTCGACGGGAGACACTCAGCTCTCTTTCGCTTTCCATAACAAGAGAAGGCAATCGGAATCTTTCGACACTTTACGTATCGCATCGCAAGCAGAGGGTGCACAGTTTAACACCAAACCCCGAAGACCGTAGCAATTGGATATCCCGCAATCATCAAAAAAATCACTCACGGATGATCATGCCATCGGAATCGAGGACAACTGACATATAAAAGCAGTAGAACAACCCCAATTCTCCCAACATCATCAACCACCCCACAGACTCCCAATATCCCACCCAATTCGTCCATCAACCATGAAACTCACCACCCCCCTCCTCACCACCACAATGGCTGCCATTTCCCCCCTCACCCTCGCCAATCCCTCCTCCCCTCCAACCCTCTGCCCCCAAAACAACACCATGCTCCCCTGTCGCCAATCCTGCAAATCCTCAAACCACTCCTCAGGACTCTGTCTCCCCACCAACCAAACCCGGAGAATTTTCCCGTCCCAAAATTTGTCAATGTTACGGAAACGGATCGGGAAGAAATCTCCCGCGCGATGAGGGTGGTGATGAGGATTTGGAGGCTTTTTGATCGGATTCAAGAGATTTTGGATGGGTTTCCGGTTCTCAGTGTTGAGGAGGAGATTGGCGAGGATGGGGGGCGTGGGGAGTTGGGGTTGGAGAGGAGGAAGTGTCATATGGTTCGGGTTTGTGTTGGGGTTTGGAAGGCGGAGGTTTGTTATTCGGTTGAGGTTTGTTAGGGGTTTGGGGAGAGGAGAGGAGGTGATGGGGGAAGAGGATATAGCTGTGTTCGTTCAGAAGCTCCGTGGATGGTTCGAGTTCTGCCGAGGGTGGAGACTGTGATATGGTTGGAAGATGAGGTGGAATTTCGGTTTGGGGGTTTCTGGGCTGGAGATTTGGATGCAATCGATCACGTTCACTTATCAGCTTGTTGATCTCGGGGTACCTGTATGACAGGCAGGTGGCGAATCTAAGTAAATACTTGTTCGGGTGGAGGATGTGCTTTTCTGCTGGTGAGTGAGTTTTCTTCATGGTGTAGAATGAGCACGAGCTATCGTTGATGAGCCCGCAAGAACGAACTGTTGAGCCTTGTTGAGAAGCGATGACAAGTTGAAGTGAAGCTGGACCAAGCACGGGAGTGGTATTCTAACCTTGCCAGCCACAGCCTTCGGCATTATTCACTCCCAAATTGCCGAAGCTGCCAAGACGGCCTCCTTTCTCGAGTCGCCGCTTGTTTTTACTGCTTTTCCTCCACCACGATATCACCATATAGCCAATGCGTCAATGAATACCATCAAAGGCTGAATTGATGATTGCCTACAGGACTTTGAAGTCTGATAAGAGATGCTGGAAAGGATGTTGAGTTCGCAATGTACAGCAGCGACCTCGGCGTCAACAGGCCCCACTCGCTGCCTATGATCCTCCGCCATTGAGAGAACATATGCGGATATACTCCCACATCCTGCTCAGAGGTGTGATCTGAAAGTCCTCAGGCGACTGTCTCATCTTGCAACATGTTTCAGCGCTTGATACGTCTCAGGTCCGGCAGCAATGTGTTGGGCCACACATTGAATAACAATCCACCTCCTCCGATCTACACTCGGCATCACGTCTCAAGAAGACTCAAAGGTTCTTCCGCAGCGACAGAATCCTCGAAAGCGCCTCTAGCCGGAATTCATATCCTGGACTTTGGACGCATTCTCGCAGCACCATTCTGTTCGCAAATTCTGGCGGATTATGGCGCAGATGTGATCAAGATCGAGCAACCCAAAACCGGAGACGAGACGCGAGGATATCGCATCACAAATGAGCTCCGGAAATGGAAACCAGAGGCTCAGCCGATGAGTTTTTATTTCGCGGCTTTGAACCGGAATAAGCGATCCATCACCCTGGATCTCAAGCGCAAAGCAGGTGTTGAGGTTGTGCATCGACTCGTCGAGACGGCAGATGTGGTGCTCGAAAACTTCATTCCTGGTCGTGGTGACAAGCTCGGGATAAGGTATGCTGAGCTTTCTAAAATCAACCCTGGTCTGATCTACTGCTCGCTGTCTGGGTATGGACATACTGGTCCTGATTCTGGGCGGGCGGGATACGATGCAATAGCTACTGCTGAAGGCGGGCTTCAGCATATCACCGGCGACCCCAAAGGACCACCTGTGAGACCGGGCTTGGGAATGATCGACATGTCAACCGGTCTCTTCGCACATGGCGCCATCATGGCTGCTCTTCGGCATCGAGACCAGACTGGCAAGGGACAACATATCGACTGCAGCTTATTCGGCACGCAAATCAGCATGTTGGTCAACATTGGTGCCAATTGGCTCAATATGCAACATGAAGGTCAGCGCTTCGGGTCTGGACACCCAAGTATACACCCAGTCGGCGTTTGGCAATGCAAAGACGGCATGTATCTCACACTGTCCATCACCAACGATCGACAATTCAAGCTCTTGCGCGAACGACTCGGCCACCCGGAATTACCCGACGATGTGGGCTTCGCTACCAACGACATGCGAGTCGCGAAGCGAGAAAAGCTCGACGAGATTCTGAGCCAGATCTTGCGTGAGAAAGGGGTAGATGAGTGGATGCGGATTTTTGAGGGCTCGGGTCTTGCAATTGGTCCTGTCAATACTATCCAGAAAGCTTTCGAGCATCCGCAGACTCAGGCGCGAGATATGGTTCAGAGTCGTGCTTGGGATGCGGTGGAAAGTGGTGAATGGAAGGCTATTGGATCTGCGGTCAAGTTTAGTGAGATTGAGCCTGAGATCCGGAGGTTGCCGCCCAAGCTGGGAGAGCATACTGAGGAGATCTTGGCTGAGGCTGGGTATACTCGGGAAGAGATCGAAAGGCTGCGAAGAGATGGGATCTTCTAAGGGCGGCGACTGCAGCCCCGAATCTGCCTTCCGTGGTGGGCCTGGAGGTTGCTGTCATTGCTTGCTACTAAGAGTCTGCCCTTTGTTCTCGTCCACTCTGTTCTAGCCATCTGCATATCTTCTGCATGTTCGCGGCAAGCCACGCAGAGAAGGTGGTCCGGTACAGTTACTGCGGAGAGCTTGTTCCTGGATGCCTGACCTACAGAGCTGCGGCGGCGGCGTCGGCGTTCTGGCTGCGTCGCTGCCTTGCAGGATTTCCGTCACCAGTCAAAAGCTGCATACCACTTGAGCATAGCCGTAATCGCACGGTCGACTCTTACAACATACAACAGCAGACACAGCAGCAGCCAAGCCGCGGTCGTCCCGTGCCACCAACCGCTGGACGCTCACGTGGTCTCGCGGCCGCCAGCCCAGTATCCAGTCATTCGCGTGGCTTTTAGTCAAACCTCCAACAGGTGAGTATGTTTACATTCACTACTAAGCAATACCACTGCTAATTTCGAAATAGCCCTTTTCGAGCCCGTCCTCAGAGCTCAGGCGATGGACTTTGACGAGCAAGACGATCTCAGACGCAAGCGTATGCGCTTCCTGGAGGACTTATCATCTGATAGCACTGGGGCGGAAATGCCGAGATTCGATGTCATCGGCGATGCCATCAAGGCTCGCCAACTGCAATTTGCACTTGACCACGCCTCCGACCGACGTATGGGGACTCCACCATCAAACGCAACGCCATCGCCTACACCAGCCGCGGAGAGTGCCGAGTCATCTCATCCAAATCAGGACCAAGTTATCGCAGCATATGCGCGCGGCGAACATGCTGAGCTCTTTTCCCTACTGGTCGACTTCGACAGAAACTCAAAATACAACAAGCCTGAGAAGAGCTTCGACTCGTCTGCTAGAATCAAGAAACCAAAGAGTGCTCGCAAGGATAATGGCACTGGCTACGGAGGCTCTGACGAGGATTTCTACCCGGACATGAACGATTCGATGTTCGGTTCAGCCTCACCACATTGGGGCCCGTCGTTTGCTGGCCAAGGTTTCACTCTTGATAATTTTGAGCCCTACGTTCCGAAAGATCCCCATCTCTTTCAAGATCTCGCTCCGAAGACCTTGTCATCACCCAGTAAGAGTTCGCCTAAGAAGAAAAAGATAATCGGCTTTGGGAGCTTTGGAGGGGGTTCAGGTTTCGCATTCTCTGGTGCCTCTACACCGTGGACTACCATCGGGCAGAAATCAAAGTCCATTTTTGCCCACAACTTCAAGGGCGTAGGCCATTCTCTGGGCTTGTCTGTCGCAAGCAAACATGCAACGAAGCAGAATAAGGCGCAAGACGAGGCTATGGACATTGACGAAGAAGAAGAAGATATCGAGGACAAGCAGATGAGCCAGAACGACGACGATTGGGGCAATTTGTTCGGTGGAGTGAATCTCAAGCATATCAAGCGTCCCACGAAGGCCAAGGAGGAAAAGCAAGAGGAGTCAATCAAGCCAGACGAAGACGATATCATGACTGCAAGAACTTTCGCTCGAGTGGTCGAATTGCTGCCTTTCTTGGGCGAAAACGCGCCTACGTTTCTGAGCAGGAATGACACAAAGGCATCGACCATTGTCCCGTCAATCATTCGCTGCAGCAGCATTCTGGATCGTGCTGCCGAACTTCTGCGCCACAGCACTCTCGACGAGATCGCTGGCAAGACTGAATTATATCAGGAGCTTCACAACTTCGTCTACGCCCTTGCACAGCACCCGCTGACTGCGCCTCTTGTTCTGGAGGATCGGATCGCCCATCGACCAGGCCAAAGCATCTGGGAACTAGTGCACAAGCTGCCCACCGCGGGAATCAGCGAGATGTCAGCATCTTCTCTCTTCCGCTGCATGCGTAATCTAGCAAAAATGGCCGACGCCGAGCTGAACAACGCAGACATCGACACTGGCAGCCTGAATCTTCTTTGCAGCTTTGACACAACCTACAAAGCTTTGTTGCAGGATATCCATTCGCCAGTCGAGGAAGAGACGAATCCAAATGCATGGCAGGCGGAGCTGCGATTCGCTGTCGTCCAGGACGACATCATGCAAGCAAGACACAGTCTCTTCAGCACGGAAGCTTCCAACTCCTCCGTCGCCAAAACCCGAATGCGCCGCATCGGCCAAGAAATCAAAGACCTTCGCGAGAACCTTCCGGACGGAATCTTCATCCGCGTCGCCGAATCTCGCCCAGACCTGATGAAAATCCTCATCATAGGTCCCCAAGGCACACCCTACGAAAACGGGCTGTTTGAATTCGACCTCCTCTGCCAAAACCACTTCCCCACTTCTCCTCCGCGATTGGAGTTCCGCACCACCGGCGGCGGCCGCGTCCGTTTTAACCCGAACCTCTACGACGACGGAACCGTCTGCCTCTCTCTCCTCGGCACCTGGTCTGGCGAACCTTGGGATAGCGAAAAGAGTACCATCCGTCAAGTTCTCGTTTCCATCCAAGCGATGATTTTCTGCGACTCCCCATGGCGCAACGAGCCGGGTCGGGAGTTGTTGGAGACTTCCCATCCCCTCGTCATGGAGCATAACAGGGAGCTCAGGCCTCATACGGTACAATTTGCGCTTCTGGCTTGGTTAGAAGCGGAGGAGGATGGGATTTGGGGCGAGGTGGTGAGGAAGCATTTCGCTGCGAAGGAGGCGGAGATTCGCTCTTGCGTGGAGGGTTGGGCCCAGGAGCCGAAGTCGAGGTTGGGTGGTGGTTTGGGAACGGGTTGGGTGGGGAAGACGGTGGGGGAGATGGAGGGTGAGGAGGTGGTGGGCGATGATTTGGTCGCTCATTTGAAACGTGTGCTTCCGGCGCTGAAGCGGCACGGAGCTAGTAGCCGCTCGAGTGCGCTGCCGGGTTTTGGCGATTCTATCTGAGAGTAGGTAGAGTGAGGGTAGAGACGGGTTTCACCACTTTCATGATTCAGCTCCGTTTGGTGATGTGCTGCTGAACTCTTCTGTTGATGACCACCGGTGGAGGCTGGAACCATCAATATAATCGACGCTCTTCCGATGTGCCCTCGTGTCCTGCTCACGTCGAACCTTTGCATTGCTCTCCCCTGGGCCTCAAGCGGAATCCGGAATGAGCCTGCGCAAAGCGAGGAGACCTCACTCCCCTCCCCCCAATTCATCTCCGTTTCAGACATTCTATTCCGCTCCTCCGCTGACAACCACTAACAGTAAGACACTAGCTTAAATCGAGTTGCCCTTTTTCTAGTAAACCTATATACTAACTTCCTCTCTACTAATAATTTATAGATAATAGCTCTAGAGCGAAAGTTAGATAGTATTAAGAGCTAGGTCTTAGGGGGATATAAATAGCTTAGCTAGAGCTAGAGGTAAAGGGCTAACGGCCTACTAGTACTTAGTACTTATTCTATTATTATTATATTACTTTGCTCTTTATATTATAGTAAAGGCGCGAAGTAAATGTTTAGAGGCTAAGGCTAGGCACTTAGAAATCCTAACTACTAAAATCGCCGAGCTAACTACCGAATTAACCAATCGGAGAAAGCCGTAGTAGTCCGTACGTAGGTTAGTACGCGCGCTCGGCTTAAACAAGCTCGACTTTCCGAAAGCAACCCTTATTCCTTTCCCCTACTATAGTAGCTTCTACTAGCGTTAGTCTATTTAGAATCCAATCTTAATCTATTTTAACTCGATTTATTAATCTATTTAAACTCGATTCCACTATAGCCCTATCTTAGAAGCTTATTAATAATAAGGACTACCTCGTATATATCGATACGGCGGGTAAGAATATAAAACTATTAGTAAGTCCTTTTATTATTCTATTACTATTTATTTCTAATTGCTTTTAGGGCTTCGAGGTATTTAAGTTAGTCGTAGACGAAAACAGCTTCTTAGACGACGACTAAATTCTAGTACTAGGCGAGGTAATCTATCGCGTTACCGCTAGTAAGGATAACGATATGTATTTAGTAAGTTTTTTCTAATCTAAATGTATTAGCAATAGTATCTAATTAGTTTTAGTACAAGCTATTCTAAGACTCCTCTGCCCTAATCGCTTATATACGTACAAATACCGACAAAGGCGGATATAGGCTTATATTCGAGAAGAGAAAAGGTTAAGATAGATAGAAGGCGAAGAAATAGGCTAAGGGTATATAATACTAATCGGAATAGTTTCGGAAACGTTTAAACATAGGCTGATTCTATTTAGAATAGTATCGTAAGGTAGCTGTCGCTACTAACAACGCCTATATTAACGAGACTAAGAAGGCGGTAAGTGCGCTAAAGCCGAAGACGCTAAAGAAGGCTGCTAACACTACCTTAAAGAAGGCAGACAGGATCGGTATATTATTAGTTTTAGAATAGTTTAAGAAAAAGTACTAATAGTTTCTTATTCGTTTTAGAAAAGCCTGCTACCCTATATAGTATACGCTCGTCTAAGAAGAGCAAGGCTAAGGCTAAGTTCGCGGCTAACCTCGAGGACATTATTTCGGGCAAGGAGACCTTATAAGTAGGGTTTTTTTAGTATAGTTAGCGTAGCGTTAGGGTTAGGAGATACCCTTCTAATACTAATAAGAAAGCAATAAGTACTATCAAACCATTCTCAAACTAATAAGAATCTAATAATAGTGCTCGGGCTTTCTTAATAATTTCAGATTTAAATAATTTTTTACTAACTTTTCTTAGGGGCGGTAAGGCTAAAGGATCTCGGTCGGTAAAGGCAATAGGTTAAAATACTAAGTCTTTAAATACCTCTGTTTCTATACTTAATTTAGTACTAATAAATTATAGGTCTAATCGAGATAAAACGGCTATATCTTCGAAAAATCCGAAACCTCGAGAAAGAATCCCGTCGATAAGTACTAACAATAGCGACGCTAACGAGGACAACGACGAAACGGAATAGGAAGGACTAAGTCCTATAGCGGTACGGCCTAAGAGTCCTATCGCTGTCCGGAAATCGAGTCCGATAAAAAGGTTTGTAATTAGAATACGAATCCATTTAACCTACGACGGTAGAAATACGCCTAAAAAAAATTAACCTTACTTATAGGACTACTCCGGACGATAAGGATAAAACTAAAGAGTCGCGACGGCGGTAAGTAATAATCTTCGTTTTATCCTATCTATCGTCGACTTCCTATTAATATTTCTAGTATTTCTAAATCGTATAAATTAGCGCCGATAGTAATTTCTTCGGGTAAGTCGGAGGGCTCGGTCTATAACCTAAAGGAAGAAAATCCCCTCGGGGACCTCGAAAAGCTCGCAGTATCCGCTTCTAAATAAAATGCTATAAATGCCCCGTCGGCGCTTTCTCGCAATCTAAAACTAATAACATCCGTTTCGGATTCTAATATTAAGCGAGAGCCTAGTACCGAACCCCCCCCCGGCTTAGCCTTCGAAAACGCCTACGCCTAAGCCTTCGATTAATCCGCCTATTACGCCTACGCTACTAGTCTAGCTAGCCCCTCCGACTAAGCTAGTACTAGCTTAGCAGCCCTTATATCCTCGATAGGGGTTTCCCGATCTATAGCCTCTCGCTTATAGTTCTATTCGAGTGCCTAGATATAAGCGAGGAAACGCGGTAAGTCTACTCTTATTTAGATCTTAAACGATTGCTAGTCTATTCTTATTCTATTTAGATTAATTTCGGGAGCGCTATCGGTCTTCTACGTTAGCAAGGATAGCTCGATCGTTGTCCGACCTATTTACGAAACGGATAGACCTAAGACCTCTTCCGTAGCTATAAATACCGAGTATTGTTCTAAGATCTCGCGGACGAGAGCTTAAGGGCTCTTAGAGCGGTAACGAAGGAATAATAATAGGATAGGAATAGGATATAAATAGGATAGGAATAGGATAGGAATAGGATAAGAATAGAATGCGAATAGAATAGCGGAGAAGTTCCCTAGCAGGTTAAGAATTTCGTAGAAGGGAATACTAGTATAGAGGTAGTTATAATTATTTTTATATTATAGTCTAAATCCTTTCTTATACTAATCTTAATTCAATTACAAACCTTTCTCCCTTATCTGTTCCTTTAGTGCTATTTCCTCGCGAAGGAGATTAAGCATCTCTCGTTTCGCTTTATTCTACCGTTCTAGAAGCTTAACGTCGATCGGCGATATATCGTCGCTAGTTACCGGTTTACTCGGTAGTAACGGCGTACTAGTTGCTTTATATAAGGCTAGACTTTCCTTCGCTCGTAACGATAGCGCCGAACGACGCCGCTTTAGTATCTAAGTACTACTCGGTTCTTCGGCGACGATTGCGTTCTTATTAAATTCTCGTTCCGTTCTCTTTTCTATCGTATCCCGTTTACGACGGCGGCTCTCTAGATACGGAAGTTAATGCTATTCCGATACTATTCTAATAAGGATTACTTTACTATATCGCTGTTTACTCTTCGTTACTAGCGAGTATACGGAGTAAGCCCGCTATATTAAACGAACGCTATAGGACTTAATGTTTTTTATAGACGTTAGAGTCTTTCGATCTAAGATAGCAGCGCTATTTTAATGTTATTGCTTTGCGAAACTAATTAGAAAGCCTTTAGAAAGCTTTAATATACGCATTAATCGTAGGTAGAATTTCCCGATACTTTCTAGTATAGTACCCCTATTTCCCGGCTAACTCGATTACATTAGTATAGTATCTAATTGTCCGCTAAGTTGCCTTAGGAATATTCGAGAAGGCGGGTACTAGGCTATAGCGGATATAGCGATAGAGCTTATACCTAGCCTACCTGTTACGATATAACACTATTGCATGTACGATAGTAGGCAGCGGTTACTATCGACCGCTGCGGTCGCTATTGCTACTAATAGTAGGACTATTATATAGATAGCTTGCCTCGCGGTACCTTAGAGAATATATCAACTTTTGTACTATATAACCGTTACGATACCTTCGTACTATAACCGTATGCCTAGCAACTTAGTAGCTTCGCTTAACACTTAGTTGGCTTCTATACTAACTACTAGTCCTCTACCCGAATCGACCCCGGTCGTTACGGCTACGACGAGAATCGACGCGATTAGCTACGGGTCCTACCGATCTTCCGCCGATTACTACGATTCAACTCCTACCCGTTACGACGGTACCTATTCGATTTACTACCCTTCCGCACTATACCCTACCGACGCGCGAGCGCCTTATTAGCGATCCTATTAGTACCCCGAGGAGATAGTAGTAGTAGTTTCTACCCTTAGTAGCAATTACCTACTATACCTAGGTCTAGGGGTAGCCGCTTTCCCTAGGAGGACCTGCCCGATAAGCTACGCTCCTCCGCCTTTAGTCGGTTCTCCGTTGTTATTCTCCGTTTAGAGACTATCTCGCCTCTACCCTCTTACTAATAGTTTACCCGCTTACCGTAGCTCCTTCGGACTCGCTTCTAACTCCGGTAGAAGCCTCGAGATTAGCTAAGCTAGCGGTTTAACCGCTGCCCTAGTACTACAATCTCGGATTGCTAGATATAGAGCCCTATATCCTAT